GTGTTTAAACAGCGTGATTTATTGTGAGGTTATTTGCTGTAGTTTACTGTCATACGCTCGAAGAAATGTTTTTACCACTACAGAGGAAATCGAGGCCGCTTTGTCATTGTTTTGTAAACTCGGGATTTCGTCGCAAGACCAATTTTGTCTAGAAATAGGAGTTAATTTATGGAGAAAGAAAGGAAAGCAAATATTTTAGAAAACTGTTAGTGCCAGCAAGTTAACATGGCAATTAACACTGGAGATAAACAACGCTCACCTCGATCGTAGCCGCTGTTGACAGCATTTGCAAGATGCGACAAAGCTGAAAACCGATGTCGCACATTGTGTCATATCAATGCAACTATGTCAAAACTTTTAAACAAATTGCACAAGAGGATCCTTCATTGCTTTATTACTACAGCGGTTTAGGAGAAAAAGTATCTCGCTCTTAACAAAGGCATTTTGGTTTCCGCAGGTGAATAAGCAACCAAAGCATCTCGCCTACTTCTTTAGGACAAAGATCCGACTTATATATATAACGAAAATCATCTTATTTCATCTTATCTTATTTGTAGCTGTTAGGCAAGTAGCTGAGCAAATTTTTAATTATTGAATAATTAAGTAAATAACAATAGCAGCCGCCATCTATCTTGCAACGTCAAGGCTTTATGTCAAATTAGAATCAGTCACCAGGACTTCACTGTCTGCTTGCTTCAAAATCAAAAGGGACGTAGGCAATCTCCGTTATCGTTTATGAAGGGATCCTTAGCAAGTTTGGTGGAATAATACAAGTAATGAAAAAAAAAAACTTATATTGGCGTTCCATTAACTTAAAATGCTGTAGCCTCACCAGTTCGGCAGTTCGTTAACCATTTAAAAAAAGTTACTCGTGCTTGTTTATTCCTGATGACAGACAGAGTCATCTGAGTTCATTTCAGGGTTTGGTTGCAGTTGTTTAACAAAACACCGTTGAGGCTAAACTTGGTTTATTGTCGTGAATGTTCCTCTTGCAAGCAATGTTGTAATCGAGCTTTGTGCAAGGTTAGTAACCTGGTATCAGCAGTTTTTCTCTCGTTTAAATATCTTGCCCAAGCAAAGAAAGTTATGGATAGAGTACTTAAAAGAATATCAAAGTGCATAGAGTTATTTCCTCCTTGTGGCAATGCGATAACATAACAGCGAAATAATTTATATTCTAATTCGCTACCCAGCTCAAACGAATATAAAGCATATATCATGTAACAAGCAGCCTCAATTGGGGTTTGGTTTCAACACGAGCCGTGAGCGACCCTCTTCATTATGCCTTCATCAACAAAATGGATGGAAATAATACAACAAACAGAATGAAAACTCGGGAATGTAAAAAATTACAGCAAGAAATTAAAAACAACCCTACAAAATGATCTAAACTATGCTCGTATAACAATGATTCAGTAAACATACAAAACGTGCTAAACCTTTCATATAGCAGTATGCAAAAAAAAGCTACGTCTAAGAGAAACCCCTGGTCACTGGGTATTTAATTTTGAGGGCATAGGGACGGTCGTAAGACGCGAATGAATATAAATGAGAACAACTCAAATATATATAGCCTACCGCTAATGAAGCAATAGAACAGCACACCATGTAACACTCCAAAGAAAAGGTTACATAACCCATGATAAATGCATTTCCATTTACTAGAACATTCAGTATTTTTATAAGAACATTTTTTTAAAGTTAGCTGAACTCGGAAAAACGCATAACTTCGTGAATTCTGCGCGTTTTGCATTGTCTGAGCCATTTTGTTTGACACCCTAAAGAAAAGATTACATAACCCATGATAAATACATTTATATTCTAATTCGCTACCCCGCTCAAACGAATATAAACCATTTATCGTGTAACAAGCAACCTCAATTGGGGTGTGTCAACACGAGCCGTGTACGAACTAAAAGAACGGGAAATGCGGAAAATTAAATACCCAGTGATAACGAAACCGACAACAATGAATGAACATTATCCCGTTAATGTAGCCGTCTTTTGCCTTGTCTGATTTCCAACGGCCGCGTCTTTTAAACAATCTGTCAGGCACTCAGGCATTAGCAGCACCGGAGGCACCTCCAGCCCTAAGGCTATGGAGACCGTAGTCTTGCTTGGGAAGGCCGATGGGTTAGAAAGCGCTAAGCACTATATCTCCCGCGCTCTAATATAAGACAAAGGAACAGACCCGCGCCTTATGTAAGCTCCGGTACCGCGAAGGAAAACAAAAGGGCGAAAAATGAACTCTTCGCTGTCCTCTGAAAAAGAAGCAGCCACAAAATATCGTTGAACTAATAAATAAGGACATGTATGCTTGAAAGTTTTAGCGATAACAACCCAAACCAACCTGCGGGGAGATCTTGAACCAGTGCCCGGAGTCACCTGTCTTCAACCTGTTGAAAATTAGGCTGCAAGGCATGTTTGAGAACTTCTACGAGGATAAGAACAAAAATACATGGCAAAATTCTTCCAACACGCACCGGGAGTCAATACAGATCAGGGCGTAATAAGCTAGGGCGTTGAAACGCTCATACGCACTCTCTGGTTCAGCTGTGATGCGGAGTAGGACTAGAACTAGTTGGCCTTTCCGCTCTCGATCGGCTGTCAGGGGAAGAAAAATGGCTTGAAGGTAGGTCGGATTTATTGCTTTATATCTTTAGATCGCTGCAATCTAGAATTAGATTTGATATTTGGCGTATTTCTATGCAATATACAGAAAATATATAGGTGATATATAGTTTTAATATACACTAAGATGGTAAATAAATGTCTTTTTGGTTAAAGAGCCGCGATCCAAGAAGATTCTGACTATTTTTAAAGTTCTACTAGAAAATTGCATTCGAATGATCTGGTGTGACAGTCTACATGTATTAAACAACAACAAATTCTGCTTCACTGCGGTATGAAATTTAAAAGTTGTATTGCACAGAACCAGAATGCTTTCAAATCCCCAAAAAGATTCCGCTGTAAAATTAAATCATAGAATGTGTTTGTTATTATGATTTTCAGGACAACAGTGACTCCCCGGCCTGAAAAGACAACTAGAACACACATTGAAAGATAAGCGAGTTCATAATACCGTGAATATGAAGAAGAACATGAAGCTAGAGCTTTTAATTTGATTGCAAGCAGAATAAATTAAGACTAGCTATTGTGTAACATTGTATTTTTATCGTCAGAGGCTTAAGTCTGGTGTTGCACAAACTACAGTCAGCTCTCAGATGGAAACCATTGGGACTGTCTCCATTAATGGACAAGTGTAACTCTTATGGAGAGTAAAAGAAAATGACTGAAGAATAGTAGGGACCAACTCGATTTCCTGGTGATGCCTTATCTTTTGATTGTACTACTGTATAATATTTCTAGCATTATATCCTCTCTCTTAATATTATATATTGTAGACAAGGAAACAGGAAAGTATTTTTTTGAATCAAGTTTGATTAAGCCTGGCTGCAGGTAATAAACTTAACCAAGAATGAAATTGAATAATACCGGACATGAGGTATACAAGTGTGCTAGAGTTGCTGGTCACACGAAAAAGTTTGCTTTTCAATGGTTAAATAACTGTTACAGGCCATTTGTATTTCATTTGTCCATAATTCTGTATAATTTTCTTGTTTGCAATGTACTTTTGAATTTGTATGTTATATAAATGTTTTACGTTGTATTTGTAAGATAGATATATAGCAATGCCTGGTTGCAATGTAAGACTAGTGAATGTTCAGTTTCTTTTAAGCTCCTTAGTCTGTTTTGCTTAGGTAGTTTTCAGTGACCTATTCATCACAGAAAGCTGTTATTATCAAACAAAAATATTTGCTGGGCTACTTATTTGTGTTCGTGCGACCCCTTTGTTAGTTTTTCAAGGGCAGTGAATTATATTTTTTTCACATACTTATTCTTTATTGCAATGTAGTATTAGTGTACAAGATAAAAAATAATGATGATTTTATTATATTTTCAATTTACCCGGACTTAAGTTTTCACAATCTGTCCAATGCTCAACATTGGAGATAGCTCAATAGGGTGTTTAGAGAAGAATACTGATGTGCACCAACAAATCCAAACTTTAATAGTAAAAAAAAAAATCATGATAATCTGGCCTTGAAACTGGGCAGCAAAAAATAAACGCCATAGCAGATGATGAACGACACAACTTGATATTAAACTGAAGCAGAGAACCGATAATATTAGTCTAAAAAAATGATGTCAGTGATATCATCTGAGTTGTGATGCCATTTTCTTACCAAGTCACGAAATTTTGATACAGGTCACGAAGGTGGAACTATATTGAATACAGATATTTGTTCGCGGGCGAAAAATTGAACAAAACAGAAAACGAACGTGAGAAAAAAATAACTTGTTCCTTCGCTACTGCTTGCAGCAAATGAATGCCACGGGATAATGGCTAACTTTCGCTGGATAATCTCTATGACGGTCTAGCATAATGTCTGTCATCTTGTTTTGTCTCTTTGGTAGTACCCAGACCCTTGCATGACAGCTAGTTCGCTCGACCTCGCTCGTTTCAGCGGCCTAGCTTATTACGCCCTGATGCGGATAAAAAATGGACGCTTGATAATGCCGCTGACCGGATGCAAAACTATTTAAGGCCATATGGGCCAACTCAAAAACGTAGGTAAACAAGCCACTCGGCGAGCTAGTTTCATGCGAAACAAAAACAAATGAACTGACGAGCGAAATGAAAAACGCGTGGGCCAACATAAAGCCACTCGGCGTGAAAGAACTAAAGCCCCTTAGCGACAGTTCTCACTGCCAGGACCGCGCTGTTAAACCTGTCTGAACCAATGAGTGAATCTTTCTAACGCCCGAGGGAAAAAATCCCTGCGGGGTCGGGAAAATTAATGTACGCGGGGACGTACGGTTGGAATTGAATTGCATTTGCGAGCAAGAAAGGCCAAAACACATTACACGGGCAAAAGGGAGGACTAAAGTACCAACCGCACCGCATAAAGGAGATGCTGAACCGCCCTAGTAATGCAGTGGACTAGAGGGACTAGCCAATCATTCTTTCCATTCCACGAGATTGAAAATGCGTCAACAGCTTCAGTGCCGGGTACGCGAAACCTAGAATTAAATCTGGGAAGATGGGCGTTGGCAGCATTCGCAAACCTGTCGACTGTATGTTGGCCCCAAAGGCGGTCCAAGTGTGCGAAGAACTCGGGGGTTGTATACCAGTCATCGAAGTCTACAATGTGGCAAATCGCCTCAGCACAAGCATTACGTTCCCTGGGAACCCACTGGGGAATAAGTGTAATATTGTAAATTCGACAAAAATAGAAAATATCAAGCGCAATATAATGCAATCCTGCACTAGGGCTCCCTATCTCCACAGCACAAACGGTCCATTTGGCTGTCAGAATGCTACTTTACACTCTTACCCAGAACCAAGGCTTTGAACGCACTTAAGGCAAATTGTGTAGCCTTAAGTTCTCTTCAAGTAGAGCTCTTAGCTGCTTCACCAGCAGTCCACATACGATGGGACACCTCATTAGTGCCCACAACAAAAGCCCCGTTGCTAGCGTCCGAATAGTTAAACAAAAGGGGAGGATAATAAGGCAAAATAGGTCTCTTATTAAGACTAACGATATTGTTTTTCCAGAAAAATATTTCAGAGAGGCAATCATTATGAAGCCCGATATTAAAACGGGAATCTCAACTATGGCGGGATTCTATGACCTCGTAAAGAAAACGGGTTTTGAGACGAGTCAGGTTAGCAATACATGACCATGCTCAAAACTTGGTACCCAAAACTGGCTACATGGACCAGGGGCACCCAACGAGGATATAGTTCAAAACCACTTAACATAGCATTGTTGAACGTATTTTAGCATTCAAACGGTAGATATAGGCATATTTTTGTCCCCTAAAAATTTTTCATCTGTTCGGATCTCTTAGCTGAAAATCTAGTGATCCGAAAATTATAGGGATAAAAACTTACCTTCTCGAAAATTATAGAAAAAAAAAAAAAAGGCTCCCGAAAATTATAGGGAGCCTTTTTTAGTTCCAAAATCCGTTAAAAATGAGTAATTATACCATTTTGTAGATGTTCGAAAATCCTAGGAGAGGCAGGCAAGCAAGAAATTTTACAACAAATGCTCCGAAAATTCTAGATCTCAAACCGAACAGATATTTTCCCGAAAATTGCCGTTGGGTGCCCCTGATGGACATAACATGACCTGCAATAACGGCACAATCCCGAGCCGTAACATAAGGTGCGGATAGAAGAAATTTGTCAATCAGAGCGATAAATTCGGAAATACGTCTATCGGTAATAGAAATGGTACCGGTAACTAAGTCCCAGTTTAGACCCAACCAAACAAGCAAAAGGGTGGGGTTCCATAGTGATTTGGCGGAGTTGGCAACAAACCCTGCACTGCTTAAGGATGATTGCACAAACAATGAATTTTCCTTGGCCATAGGCAGTGAATCCCCTTTTCCGCACACATCGTCGAGGAACACAACAATTTTAATCCCGTTAGACCTCCAAAACTTAACGAGTGGTCTAAGACACTTGGTGAAGACGTATGGGGCTGAGCTAAGAGCGAACGGAAGTGATGCAAAACAAAAATACCGAACGGTACCAGAAAAAAACCAGGAGAACCCAGAAAAGTTTGTTGATCCGGAAAAATATCGATATGGTGATACCCAGACTTGAGATCGAAACTGAAAAGGTAATGGCCCTTATTAACATATGATAATAAAACTCTCCAATCTTCACAACCAAACTTCTGTTTCCAAATGAAATGATTGACATGACGTAAGTCCAGAGTAAGCCTCTTCTTGCCTGAAAACTCTATCGAGACAGTTCTGTGGTCCTATTTAACTCCAATGCCCGAAAGACCAACAGACCTAGGAAAGGACGGCCGGAGCTTGAAGATCTGGCTTGAGGATTAACTTGACACAGAGACCTCCAATGACTTTGCTGGCCGCAGGCGAAACAAATATCACTTGGTCTTGGTTTGCTGAAAGCGCCAAGAGTACGAGAAATAGGTGTGGAGGATGATGAATGTTGGCCAAAAAACGCGGTGGTTGCGGTAGATGATTGGAGTTGTGAATAACCTTGCTTGGATGGCTTCACTTTCTGTTGGCGTTGGCTGCGTTTACGAAGGGCCCTCTGCTCGACCTCTGACCCGCTAGCCAGTTCGTCAGATAAATACTCGTTCACCAAATCCCAACCGGCGGAGGATTTGTCTTTCAGTCTGATACGTTTGTTGCGCTTCTTGATGTCAGATTCTAGTTCTTCCAGGTGAGTTTTAACAAGGTCTAATTTTCTCTTTCCGAGGGCAGCTGACGCCAACTTTACCTTCGCTGCAAGGTCGGAGTTGAATTGAAACTGTTTCTTATTACCTTCGTATCTAAAAGTGATCTTGTATTCTTCTTTGAACTTTTTGGCTACAGAATCGGTATTACTGCACAACTCGTCTTGAATATCGCGCTTCAAGGCGCCCAACTTCTTGTCGAAATAATCCTTAAATAGAGAGAACGCGGAAGCTGTATCACTGGATTCTGAAGACTGGATTGGTACTGAAGCTTCGAGTGATTGAGACAAGATAGAGGGTTGTTTAGGAAGGCAACAAATTAAACGTCGCTGCTAGGAAAATTTGTGTTCGCTAAGGTAACGTTTTCAACATCAGACATAATTTTGAGGGCGTAGGGACGGTCTTAAGACGCGAATGAATATAAATGAGAGCAACTCAAATATATAGAGCCTCCCGCTAATGAAGCAATAGAACAGCATACCATGTAACACCGCAAAGAAATGGTTACATAACCTATGATAAATACATTTCCGTTCACTAGAACATTTAGTCTTTTTATAAGAACATTTTTTTAAAGTTAGCTGAACTCGGAAAAACGCATAACTTCGTGAATTCTGCACGTTTTGCATTGTCTGAGCCATGTTGTTTGACTGATGATTCAAACAGGAGAACTTTTTATTGCGCCTAACTCAATAAGTAGATGAACACAAAGGAAATCTCAACGCACAGCTTAAAACGCAAAATAACGTTGTTTAAAATAAGTAGAGACCCCTTTAGCATATTTTGAATGCAGCAGAAATTCTTATTTGGGAATTAATCAAGAGGTAAAAAAAATAGATTCCCGTGGTTTTTTTTGTGTGTGTGTCAAATTTTCCGGTTATGTGTCTTAATGTCACGTTAAAAATTTGTTGAACCTTATTCTAACGTATCGAAAATGAAATGCCTTTATATCAACCTAACTGGTGACAAAAAAACATTTTTGACATAATCAAGAACTCTTTACAGAATTGTTAGCTGGTTTAACATAAGGATAAAGGTTTACGAAGAAGAGGCATTTTCTGTTTGCTTCTTTCAATCTCTATTTTCGCTTTTAGAAACTAAATGTTTTTTTTTTTCTGACGGGAGAGACCATTCCAGAAAGTATAAGAGACCTATCTTTAAATTAAAAATACAGAGTTAAACCAAAATATGTTTTCCAATAAACTCGGTGCAATGTCTGTTTACAAATTTAAAATGATTATTAAACTGCCTATACGGTGACTAGGATGTCCACCTGCTACAGTGCACCCTTATGACAAAGCCTGGGCACGCGATCAACCTGAACTTGTAAGCACCAGGCGCTACCCCCACGTGTGGGACTAGAACTAATCGATCAATAAAGTTCTGAAGATACCAGCAGTTCAGAATGAAAACACCTCAAGCTTAAGATCCTGTGTCGACACTTTGCCCAACATTGTGAGAACGTTGAAGACCTTGAAGCAGATTTGCGATCAGCAGCTAATATGCAGCAGATTATTAAAAAACTGCCTCCGAAAATTGCTGTAAGGCGTAGCACGCGAAAGTCAGAGCTGCAGATAAAGGATAGCCTGCAGTGCAGGCGTTTTCTTTGAGCGCGCAATTTGCTCGCGAAAGGGGGATGTTGAAACTTCCCGAAGAGAGGAGGAGATAGGGCGAGTCAAAGGGAGCGGGGAGGGAGTGGGGAGAGAGAAGAGAAAACGCCTTCTCCTTAAACACTGTGAAAATGCGAAACACCCCCTAATTAGACGCGCGTGACGGCTCTTTCGGAAATGAGTAGCCGACAATAACAAAACAATCAAACAGTCGCTCCAGTCCAAAGACTCGCATTGTCTTAAGAAAAACAAGCTGGAGTTTATCATTGTTTTTATCTTGACCGAGTCACAATGCAATTCTCCACAGCTGATGAAGCTTCAGTTTAAGCTGCAATTCATTCTTCTAAATTCATCTCTGTAAATCGCTATCCGTGAGAGTTTAACATCCTACAAACAATTTAAAAAACTAACGAGCTGGGCCCAGCGTGATACAACATTGCAGGAAAACATCACATTCTCGGACTAATAAGAAAATCGATTAGTTATTCAGATCCTGAGACACTTTGGACAAAATAAAGAACCTAACAGCATCATTTAGCGAAAAAAGAGCGTTACGCTTCAAAAGAGGTTAAAGAAAACGTCTGGCATCAGAGGGCAAATCATGAAGATCAGAAACACCACAGAAAATCAATAAGCGTGTCATGACCTCTCAGTGTGAAACAAGCGGCTAAAATCACATTTGCTCTGTCAAAACATAGAACCCTCTAGAGAGCATCTACTCGCCAGAAAAAAAAAACGTATTGGAACAAGCAGCATTTTGGCATGAGGTAAAAGTGGTGTAGGTCCTGCGAGCAAATCTTGTCCTGATGACCAGTGTAAAAATCGCTTTGACTTTCTCATTGCGTAATACACGCGACATTCCCAGCCGCTCCAATTCCAAAAGACTGACGGAAACGGAATAAAAAATATAGACTTACAGTCAATTGACAGGCATCAATCTACTTCCCTTACCGCACCAATCAGGAGCTCCGTTTGCCAGCGTACGGAGTTTCCCAAAAGAACAATGATATCGGGCAGGCGTATTTTTTTTTCTCCCCTCCCCCTCCTCCCTTTCCTTCTTTCGCCCTAGCTCCTACCGTAAGGGTTACTACTTCTACTCTCCCCAATCTTCCACTGTCATAAGATGGCGGCTACAACAATATTACGAACACGAACAAGGTTTTGCCCACCCAAAATACGCCTGCACTGCAGGCTAGATAAAGGAATTTGTCCTTACCGACCTACATGTTGATGAGTGGCTGGAAACAGAGAATCAAGTCCAAGAGATGGCTATCGGTTGTGGCAGTACTAAAGCAAATCCTGGCCAAAAGAAAACCAAGTCAAATTCAAACAAATCAGAGTGGTTCAAGGAAACATACAAAAAGGGATGCGTCTAACGAGATTCGTGCAAATTCAGGAGCTAGAGTGGAATGTTTTGTGTGCAAAGACATCAAATGTGCAGTAACGATTGTAATTGGCGAAGAAGTTGGGTTTGTGCTTTTGGTGCCTCAAAAGAGAACATTGAGCTTAACGGTGCTCATTGTAAGGGAGTGAGGAACGTATCCAGTAGAAGGGTGGGTGGAACGACACCACCTACATCTTCATGCAGCCATAGAACCATCGCAGTTAGACATTTTAACCCCCCAAGAAGCTACAGGAGACACGCCAACAAATGGGGAAAGCTAATCGCAGAATCTGTGGAGTGCCTGAAGAAGCCACAAGTGTAACCTCGAAACCCTGAAAAGGTTGCCCTGAAAATGGAACCCGTTGTATTGGAGGGAGAAAATGGGATAATGATCAAAGCAAGCGCCTTTCTTGGTTCTTCTGGGTCGTCCTACCTTAAAAAGCAGATCTTTGATTTATTGAGCTCGGACGCTGGGAGTAGACCACTGCGTTTTGCTGTTTTTGGAGCGGGGTCGATTGTTACGGATAGGAAAACTGTCACTGTGTGCCTATAGATTATGCATGGAAGCGTTAAGAAGCACTTGTTTCTATGGATAACCCCGAAAATTTGTGAAATGACTGTAGTTGCATGATTTGCCTCCTAATGCAAAGAAGCTAAATCATCTTTGCGATTTGGAGTTCATAAAGCAAGTTGAACATGGATAAGTTGATCTATTTGTTGGAAGTGATTATTTTGAGAAACTGCTTTTACCACTTGAATTTGGCATAGGAAAGCCGCAGGAGCCTGTAGGGGTTGACACCCATCGGATGGACATTCGTTGGACATATCTTGGAAGTAGCAAACGAGTGTCCGTTGCCAACCACGTCTACACATTCTATGCATGCCAGTGAGTTCATACGGAAGATGTGGGATGACGAAGTTGTGGAATCACTTATCGAAACAAGCCCTTGACAAAAAAAAGAGGTGCTTGGTGCGCGCAAAACGGCAAAGTCAACGCGATGTGCTGAGCGGGCGCCATGAGGTGGCTATTCCATGAAAGGACAATGAGCCGCCGCTGCAGTGCATCAGAACGACCAGTTAAGAGCGAATTAAACTTGGCCATGACTGCTTTTCAGAATGGGGTGTTGTACCGGCGGGGGTTCCCCAAGGCACAAAAATTTGGGGCAAAATGGCTGTCCATCATGATGATCAACGAGCTTGATGTTCCTGCCAAAGATCTCTGGAAATACGTCGACGATACGACCATCTCGGACACAATAAGCAAGAACCAAGACAGTCACATCCAGGCCGCCTTCGACACCCTGGTCAACCCGCGCTTCCTTGGAAAAGTTTCAACTAAACGAGACGAAATGCAAGGAACTGTGCATAAACTTTAGCACTAAGAATACTACGTCTTTCAACCCCGTTGTAGTTGACGGCATGCCTATCGAATTAGTTGCCACTGCCAAAATACTAGGCCTCAATGTCTCTGGTGATTTGAAATGGAACTCTCACATTGACTCCATTATCAAGAAAGCTCAGAAGCACCTGTATAGTTTCGATTGCTTTTTATCATGTCGTTTCGTTTTTTTTAATCTTTTTTTTTCTTTTCTTAACAAATCACAATTTTGCTGTAGTGTATTCATGTATTGTTTGTCGGTTATTCGCTTCTTTCGCTTTTCTTTATAGATTAGCTTATTAGTGGGAATCATAATTATTTGTAAATAATCGCCTAATTCAACCTCCTGGTTGCAATGTGACTATAAATAAACCATCTATCTATCTATCTATCTATCTATCTATCTATCTATCTATCTATCTATCTATCTATCTATTTATCTGTCTATCTATCTATCTATCTATCTATCTATGTATCTATCTATCTATCTATCTATCTATCTATCTATCTATCTATCTATGGAGAGCCAATTAGGAAGTCGTTTTCTGGATAAAGGATTAGTCGAGGAATTACAAGAATTTTGTCGCCAACTGAGTCTCGGAGATTCTAGCCTCAGACAGTGGTGACACGCTCCAGCTAATTTTAATTGTGCAAATGACGTGACTCCAGTGCCACACTCGAAGGTGAGAAGTGAGCATCGCTGGTTATTGCACCTGAGTTCCTGTATGAACATAAGGCTGAATGGTCTTAAAGAAAACGTGTAGTGTATATGGAGCGTTCAGAAGAGTGTCTTGCTCAAACCTTTGTCTTGGAGGTTTCACAACCATTGATGAATCCAACCGAAGTACACCAGGCAAACCT